AAACAACTCTCTCCGAGCATCCAAGGACAAGTGCTCAATGCCCTCTCTACCAAAGCCGAAAGAGAAAATAGTTCAGTCAGCAACAACAGCAGATGCCTTCCCTATATATATATAATTGAACCCATAGCAGGTCCAAGCCCTACCATATTAGAAAGTTGATTTAAATAAATTTAAAACTGGGGTGTAATCAATTCCTGATGCTTCTCTGAATATATACTGTACAAAAAATTACTGAAGATTCCATATTTTTTTCTTTTTTAAAACAAGATGATAAACAGTACAATTGCTGTTAAGTTGGGGGGCACTTAAGTTGGCTTCTACACCTGGTGACTGGATGAGCAAACAATCACTATTTCAACCTGCTTTTAGTATATAACACTAACTTGTAGAGGTTCCAATAGTCTTTGATTCTATTCCTCCACCCATCTCTCCTTTTTTTCCCCTACTTTCCCTAATCTTGCCACATATAATCATTTGTTCCTAGTTCCACATCACCCGCCTCACATGTGGATCACAATACGCCTAAAAAGGGGGGAGGGAAGAGAACATACTTTACTTTAAAATGATGCCTTAATTAGTTCATGGCAAAATAAAAATAAAAATCTATATGGTCCACTAGTCCAGGGCTTTTCAACCAGTGGTACGGGTACCACCTGTGGTACATTGGCACCTGGCAGGTGGTACGCAACTATCCTAGAAAAGTGGTAGCGGGGGAGGGGAATGAGCTGAACCGGTGGCACCGCACAAGCCTGAGCGAGAGATGGCTGGAGCTGCAGGGCTGTCAGGGCTCAGCGGAAGCACCAGGATCAGCGCCAGGTTCCAGGTGGAACTTGGCGCTGATCCTGGTGCTTCTGCTGAGCCCTGAAGAAGCACCAATCAGCTGGAATGTTGCAGCATCTCCAGGGTCTTGTGATTTACATTCAGATGCTTGGCAACTGATTCATATTTATGACGGTCACAGTGTCCCAGGGTCATGTGAAATGACCAAAACCTGCTGCAACCACCCAGCAGACGGGGGGAATAAAAACCAAACATCCCCCACCCCACCCCCGCTGCCAATCCTCAACAGAAATGCCTCACAACAATTAAAACCTCGGACAGGAGGAAGAGCGCCGCCGGGTGGGCAGGCAGGTGTCTTGCTCGGCTGGGGCTTGGGGGGGGGGCACTTTTTTTCAGTGCCATTGTAACTTCGAACAGTCACTAAGCGAACTGTTGTAAGTCGAGGACTACCTGTACTTCATTACTTTTTTCCTTTTTTTGGTCATCAAGTTTTTGACACCTTGCTAGGCGACTGGTGGTACTCGGATGTTGCCATATCCTAAAAGTGGTACAATGGGTGAAAAGGTTGAAAAGCTCTGCACTAGTCTGTTTAAGTAACTAACCATGGGAGGGTTAGACTAGAGGAAATCTGCTTTTGGATCAAGCATGGTAAAAATATTATGCTATAGGAGATAAAGATCACCACCAGGCTCAAGAAAAGTGCTGTTCTAAAGTTAACTAGTCATCTGAGTAATAATCCAGCTGTTCCAATATTGCAATCTGTATCATTTTCACATTACAAACATCTATTATCCATGCTGTTAGGAAAAACTGGAGAACTTCTAAAGCTAAATAAAATCCAACTACCTACCAATGACTTTGTTTAGGGTAGCTGTAGTATTCAACCTCCTGAGAGTTGTGCAGTGGGTGCAATTAATTTCTAGTTACCATCTGAAAGCAGCACCATCAAATAAATAGTGATTTAACTATTCAATAAAGTAAGCCCATTAAAAAAAACAATGGAACTCATTTCTAAATCAAGGAGTTTTAGCAATAATGATCATAAATGTCTGCTTAAGGAATGCATTGGATTGCCTAGCAATCAGGTTTTATCATATGCCTTAGCTTGGAAATGTCTCTCCAGGGCATGCCTATTACTAAAAATCATGCCCCAGTTGCTTTGTGTCCCCCAGCCAGCATATGCAGCTTTCCTTTTGCTTTTGCTTTCTGCTGTGAAGCATCTAAATGCACCTGCTGTATTAAGTCATTCATTTATTCCCAATTCAATTTGCTCTTCAGCAGTTTCTGCACTTGGTCCTTGTGATAGAGCAGAATAAAAATATTTCAAGCATTTACGGAAAGCTCATTTCCATGTAATCTACACTCACTATTGTCAGGAAGAAGAGCTCCTATCGTTCTTCATCATATGCAGAAATACCAAGGATTGCTCAAGAGAGAAAGAATCAATACAGTTGTTGTCTATTCAGTTAAACACAACCTCCCCATCTTAGATGTTTAAAATAAGTAATTCAAATGGCAATTATTCTTCCAAATCATCAATAAACAATGCAATGGTAGTCATGAAAGGACTATCTTCTCCACAAAAGAGCAGCTTTTTTTCACTTACATATGGACACAGTTTTGGTCGCCATGGCATAAAAAAGAAAAGACTTTAGAAAGAGTACAGAGAAGAGCAATAAAGATGATTAAGGGACTGAAGGCTAAGGCATATGAAGAACAGTTGCAGGAATTGGGTATGTCTAGTTTAATGAAAAGAAGGACTAGGGGGGACATGATAGCAGTGTTACAATATTTAAGAGGCTGCCACAATGAAAAAGGGTCAACCTATTCTCCAAAGCACCAGAAGGTAAGACAAGAAACTATGGATGGAAATTAATCAAAGACAAAATCAACTTCGAACTAAGGAGAAATTTCCTGACAGAACAATTAATCAGTGACGACTGACTTGCCTCTAGAAGTTGTGGGTGCTCCAACACTAGAGGTTTTTAAGAATAGATTGGACAACCATTTGTCTGAAATGGTATAGGGCAGTGGTGGCGAACCTGTGGCATGCGTGCCAGAGGTGGCACTCAGAGCCCTCTCTGTGGGCACAGGCGCCCTCATACCAGCCCTGCCTCCCCCCGCGGCCCCCTCAGCAGCAGCCCCTCCGGAGAGTCGGCCCCGGGTGCGGTCCGCGCAGAGCAGCACAGCCAAGGACATGGCAGCCAGGCAGCAGGGACAAGACTCTGCCCTCGCACCCCATCATGTGCAGATGATGGTGCGGGGCGCAGCCGGAGGGTGTGGCCGCCATGGTGCTGCAGGGCTACCTGGGCGATCTGTGGCAGGCCATGGAGGCAGTGGGTGGCCCTGCGGGCAGGTGGGGGCAGAGCAGAGCGGGCAGGCCGGGGCAGGTTTTGGGCACTCGGTCTTTAAAAGGTTCGCCATCACTGGTATAGGGTTTCCTACTTGAACAGGGGATTGGACTAGAAGATCTCCAAGGTCCCTTCCTATTATTCTGTTGTTCTAAAAAAGTCAGGATACCCCAGTACCTATGTCTTGGGTAAGAACACTTCCTTTGTTGAAGGCTATGTTTTGATCTTGGCAAGCATTCCGAGAATGTGGAAAGCAGGTCACAGGTATACCTAGTTACAAAACAGCGGCCAGACTGGACTTGACAAAATGGTCTTTTCCCAGAAATTGGCAACATTGCTTCCTAGCCCCAGGGCTTACCTTTGCCTAGATGTCTTGATATGGGAAACAATTCCAGCAACAGCATTAGACTGCAGCCAATTACTAGTTTTGTTTTCTAAGGATGCCTATGGGTAGAATTATAGCAATTATTGAATGAGCAAGGCCCAAACAAGGCATCAAAAAATTGGAGCCAGGCTGCAATAAACCCTTGGATTCTCTCTCCTGCATTAAAAAGGCCAAATCCCCATCATAAATGCTAGACTGTCCTTCGCAGGCAGTCAGTTGAAAAATTTCCAGTGACAAATATAATCTCATTATAGGAAAGAAGCAATGAGTATCCAGAGAAAGGAACACAATATCTCAAAAAGAGGGAAATAAGCCCAATAACAAAACAAATAGAAGCAAGGAATTCCCAGTGGCAAATATATATGCAGTTCTGTTTAAACAAGAACTGCAATACGCTGCTCGAGAACAGCCCTAGAGTCAGATATTGAAGGATGGGCAGGAAAATGGAGGGAACATTCCTATTTATTTCTGCATAAAACATTCAGTCAGAGCCACAGAGAAATTGTGTGCCTTGCATGCACTCCTAGATATTTTGCAGCTTAGACAAAAGCAAATTCTCTTCCAAGTTAGGCTCAACATCTGGCAACTTCATGGAACATTCATGTAGTTTTCTTGGCAACAATACAACAGTGGTTTCCAATTTCCTTCTTTTAAGATTGTTTTTTTCCAATTTCCTAATCTAACTAACTACAACCTTGGATTTCATGGAGTCTTTCATCTAAGCATTAAGAAGTGTCTGGCCTTGTTCAACTTTTCAAAATCAACCAAGGTCAGCTAGATGCTCCACCCACCTAACTTCTGTGGATAGTACAAAATGTACTGTGACATTAAAATTAGATATCAGATGAAAAGGATTACCAAGATGACGCAGTGATTGAGTTCACACGCACTTATCCTGATTTATAAATTAATCTAGCTAATACACCAAACCATAAACAGACTGAATTTACACTTTATAATAAACAATCCATATATAAAATCAAAATGAATGCTAACTGCACATAGTATGTTGTGGAATGTAACTGGTGGTTCTTCATTTAATCTGCTTAAGCAAGTTCTATGGATACAACCTAATTTGCATTAGCTATACAGCAAGAGCTTTTCCTCCCATATGCTCATCTTTTTCATCCATTTTGGATGACAGACTTTCTATCATAAGCCCAAACATTTTGCCCCCCTCTAATTACAACTACTTCCATACTCAGAAGCCCTTTTTGCAAATACTTGTCTTCCAACATTACATCCACCAGTGGCTGTTAAAACATTCCTGGACAGTTACCTGCATCCTGTAAATCCAGCCCCAGAATCAGTCTCTGGTTCTCCACTAGGCAAGGTAGAAAAGTTGAGCAAAGTGTGAGTCAGTTCTCAGAGAGACCAGTTAGCAATTCCTTCTAACAGATGTGAGCTCTAGCAACCCTTCTGTTGTAGGTAGCAATTTTATTCTTTCCTTGAACAAGCCCAAACAACTGCAAGCGAGCACTTACTGGTTTAGGGCAGTGGATGTATCTGGCAAGGCTGATGATCAGGTCATGGGTGATTGGATCAACAAGGTTTCTGAAGCTGGCATAGCGATATAAGACATCATCCAGTGAAGTTGATTCCATTCCCAAATCCTGCAGAGGAACAAGTAAATAAACATTTTGAAGACATCAATGCATACTTAGCTTTCTCAGTGACTGGATGTATTGATGGGTACAGTCCTGCAAACAGACAACAGTCCCATTACAGTAGCATTTCCATCATCTTTAGGGTTTGAGATTCTCCAGAAATAAGAACTTGTACAAATATACATATGCGCATACACACAAGCAGATGGAGAAAGAGCCACATGGTATTACTCTGTTCAATCAACTCAAGTTGGGACCTCTGGAGATAACCTGCATGGATGAAACTCATCATTTTGCTAGTTATTGAAGTAGTCTATATTCTGGTCACATAATATTAAACCATAAGCTCATTACACTGGTTTTTCACAACATGCTAGCCCACAGGAAAGAAATTAACACAATAAATGACCTAGTTTAGGATGTTGTATGAATGTAGCTTTAATATAGCTGAATTGATATTGTTTGGAACAAGGAAGTTCTTGGCTTCTCCCTCCCTCATCATTCATATTCCTTAGCTTCACAGAGAAAAAAATAACAACTGCACTTTTCTCTAGGGGCTGCATTAACACCCAATCATCTGGCTTCCTCTCCCAGCAAATTTGGCTGCTCCCCTTGCACAGAGTGCTTGAACAGGCACCGAAAGAAGATAAGAGCTCTGCACAGAACTGTTTTTCCTGTAACAGGGAACTTTTTTCATGGCAGGATGACTCACACGCAACATGAATCCAAACCAGACATATGAGAATTTATCTTCTCTTCACATTTCTGTAACTGAAGCAGAATAAGGTATAATTTATTTAATGCTTGCATCAATCATTTTTTAATCTGAAGACCCTCCAGACCATTCCTCAAATCCCCAGCAGATATAGCCTGGTAAATCCCAACCTATTTGGAAAGTGCTGGCTGGATGATTGGAATTAATATATATCTGTCCTGATCTCTGGTCAAATCTCAAGTTTCAGAGGATTAGCATGATTCTAACATTATGAAAGAGGGAGAAAAAAACCCATCATCTATGTTTGCAATGCATGACTTTATATATCTCTATCATGTCTAATTAATATACAATTCCTTAATCCCAAATTCATCTTCTTCCCAAACAGAGCACTTCAATTTTACCTAGATTGCAGTCCAAATCCTAATGTAAAATTTACCCAAGGATGCTGGCTTTGAAGAAGTAAAACAACCTGAGTATGTTTGGCTCTTCTGCAAGGCTTGCTCACAAAAAAAGAGACTTCCATGACACGGTGAGCTGTTAAGTCTGGCAACAGACTTTCATCAATTGCTCAAGCTCATGATAAGGTGGAAAGGAACAATTGTCAGCTTGCTTCAAGGTGTTGGTTATTATCTTTAAAGCCCTTTATAGCGTGGGTCCTGGGCATCTGAGGAGTCATTTTGTCTCAATGGGATTGGTCTGCTCCACTTACTCCAGCAGAAGGGGCTTGCTGCAGATCCCATCTGTCAAGGAATTTTGCCTGGTGGGGTTTAGGAGAGGAGCCTTATCTGCTGTGGCCCCTGCCTTTGGAACATCCTGTTGCCGGACATGAAATCCATCCCCATCCTCTTGGACCTTTGGAAAGGCCTTAAAGCTTGGCTCTGCTGGTTGACTTGGGGCTCCAGTGGAGTGCTCTATGCTAGAGGTGGTCGATTTGGTAAGAGAGAAGACCTCGCTTCACTGCTGTTTGTCCTCTTGGTTTTTAATTCTTTAATTCTTACTAATTTTAGTTGTTTTTCTATTTATTCTTTTTATCATTTTGTAAGCCACTTCAACAAAGAGCCGAGTCGCATTTAAATTTAATAAATAAATACAATAAACAGTCTTTGCTTTAATTCATGGCAGGAATTGCACTTAGAGAGTTCCTTCGGAACTACATAGCCCAGCATACTTTTGATGAGAAATTCAATACTATTCAGCTTTTTGAACTAGCTATGCATCCATCAAGCAATGAGATCATTTCCACCTTCATTCTTACCCATTCTGGCAAATTTTTCCTCTCCAGCATGGAGCAAAATACAAAGCAAATCAGACCTGAAATTTGCCTTTCAGAGTGAATACATAAACCATCATTACTGGCCAGAATCCCCTGCTACGCCGCATGACTATTTGGTACATTTAAAAGTGAAATGCATATGAGACAAGATTCAAAAAGCAACTTCTTTTATGCCTACTTAACTGACAGATACAATAGTACTAATAAAAGAGAATATTTGTAGCTCAGGGTTGACATGTGGGGTCCTTGGCGCTCTCTGAGTTGGTTGTTTTCTTGCAGACTATCACCTGGCCCAAAAAGCAACAAAAAGGCCCAATCATCTCTCCACCAGCAATCAGCACCCAGATCAGCATAGATTAACTCCAAGGTTAACATCAGGCCAACAATCAAGTAAACAATACCCCAATCAAGAAACTGTCAAAGAAGCCAACAGTAGACAGCCCAACCAAAGAATCTCTAAGACCACCCCCATCCACCCAGACAGGACAAGCCACCAGAATATAAACTGACAGCAAACTGAACTTCTTACTAGCACTGATGATGTTACCTAGTTTGGGTAATGAAACATCTGCAAAAAAACAAGCAAGCTCAGAGAGCTCCAAGGACTCCTCAGATACAATAGTTTTATGGAAGTATTCGGCAACATTATAGTTATTGATGCAAACCCTCAAGGCCCATTGTTTTTATTTTTTTAGGCAAAGCAATTTTGCTTCAAACCAATTTTATTTACAAACACTCTAAGAAATTGAGGTTATTCAACAGGAACAACAACATCAAGTCTAAAATCTTGCTTCTTCCCATAAGAAACTAAGAAATAGCAATCAGTGGGCTGTCTCTTTACAACATATCTTGCATTTAACTGTCTCATCAGCAGACCATTCTATAAAGCAGAAGAGAATGATGACAGCTTCACTTACTTAGTGAAGTACAAGCTGCTTTTTTGAACATAAGCAGTGTGCTGTTGGACCGGACCCCTGGCCCATCTAATCCAGCAGACTGTTCTCATGATGACCAATCGACTGCAAAGGAAGCCAGTCTGTATTTCCCCAAAAGATTTTCTACATTTCATAAGTTTATTAGTAACAGATGGCAATGACAAATACAATATTAGGTAAGATAGCAGTTTTAAACAATTTTAACCATAAGTGATTATCCTTAGAAAGTATATGTTTCACCTGAAAATTAGCTTGACTTGAGAAATTTTTTAATTCAATTTTTTCCAACAACCTTCAGCATTACAAATAGTTGACTTACAAGAATTGTTGGAAGTTATGACAGCCTTGGAAAGGTGCTTTATGGCCCATAAAGCACTTTTGGCTGTCATAAAAAGGGCCCCTCCCAGTCACATGATCACGATCTGGATGCCTGGCAACTTGTTCATTCTTACAACTGGCTGCCAAGTGCCCTGGAATCATGTGATTGCCATTTTCAGTCTTCTCTGTCAGCTTCCCCAGAAAATCAGTGGGAAAGCCAGCATGGAAGGTTGCAAGCTGGTAGCACCTGCCAAGAGGACTCCTTCTCAGTTCTTGGGGCTAGATGAAAGAGCTGCCTGCCAAGGGGAGCTGAACTCCCTCAGTGAGCTCAGTTCCTGATGATCTGAGCTCTGTTTCTACACCCCATGGAAGGAGTTCCCTTCTGGACATGGAGAAGAACTGAGTTCCTTTGACGGCGTAGAGAAATGGAGCTGATATCATGGAGATCTGAGGCCCATTCCTGGATCCCGCCAAAGGCATTCCCTTCCATGTACAAAGGGGAGCTGATATCATTTGGCAGGCAGCTCTTTCAGTGAGCCTCTAGAGAAAAGATGGAGCTGAAATCCAAGCAGAGACTGGAGAGGCAGTGCAGTAAGGTTAGAAGTGAAGAGTGCCTGAGATGGGTAGGGAAAGCTTTGGGAAGCCTGGGGAAGGTTACATGTGAGTGTCCCTTCATTCAATGGCTCAAAATCCTGCATTTTGGTATGGAGGATTCTCAGCAGAATCTCCCAGGATCTCCCTCCACCCCCAACCTCCACCCCTAAGGCACTCCTTATTTCTTACCTGGGACTCTGTCCGTTTAATAACCACACAATCACTGAACAACAATATCAGGATTGCACTCATTAAGCTAAGCAATCACATCGGTAGTCATATAATACCTCAAATAAGGATAGCTTCACTTAAGATTCCAGGCTCAATTGTGGACATAACTCAAGGACTATCTGTAGCAGTATGTTGTAAACTACAGTGAAAAATCATTTGATCATTAACATGGAAGACGCAGAAAGCTTCTGCAGCCAGGGGGAGAAGACTGGGGAGTAAAGTCAGCCCACCTCACTTGATATATGGGGTATCTCAAGGATTTGTTCTATCTCTTCTGCTTTTTTAATATTTATATGAAGCCACTGAGAGAGGTCATTCAACAATTTGAGGTCAAGCATCACCATCAGTGTGCTGATATCATCCAACCCTATACTGCCACTCCAGACCATGAGAGATGCTATCAAAGTTATTTTCTGATATTTAGAAACTGTTAGGATCTGGAAGGGAAATAAGAGACTGAAACCTTTAGTTTGCTAGCGATACACTGGGATTCTTAGATGCTGCCACAGTTGTTCATAGATGGACAAGCTTTACCCCTGAAGAAGTAGGTTCACCAACTGAGGTTTCTTCTGGATTCATAGCTTCCATTGGACCAGCAAGGTGAAGTGATTGCCAGAAGGGCCTATGTTCAGCTTTGCTGAAGTATCGGTTGTGACAGTATTAGGCAGGAGGATCTGACTACTGTGACTCATGACCAGGCTGAGGCCGAGGGAGGGATCAAGCATGTTATCAGTTTGGAGTCTTTTTGTGCCCACAAGAGATCTAAGTCCAGCCCTCCTTGAATTCTATTGACTCTTCTAAGCTGACATCTTGTTCTTTTCTGTAACATCTTATTTCGTCACAAGCTGAAAGAATAGTTTCACGTGTTTATAAATAATCTTTATAGTAGAAGTTGTTTGTCAAGCAAGATTTTATAGTCCAAGGTATTTCATCATCT